AGACCTTTCTCTCTGTCTCTCCCTCTCACTGTCCACTCTGCCTGTCAAAAAAAAAAAAAATTAATAAACAAAGAAAGGGCAAACAGGGTAACAGCAAAGGGGTTACAAAGGCTTTGTCTGGACTTTGGCGTAGCATACAACAAGCCCTCCATCCAGGTAGCTGGGAGCATTTTCATCGCTCCACCTGGCTCCCTAACCATGAAAGTACTGTGAGTTCTCTGTACCCTCCCGGGGGGTGGGGGGTGGGGGGAGGAGCATGTCCTTATGAGGTAGTTACTGTCTCCATTCCCATTGCTCTGCAAAAAACCTCAAATTCTGTGATGTGCTGCTGAGAAAAGAACTCGGAACCAGAAACCAGTGCTGCCTTTTATTGCTCCGGTGACCTTGGGAAAATAAGTTCTGTGACCTTTAGTTCTCTATCTTTCAATTGAAGGAAAAGAATTCCTAAATCATGGTTTTTTTTCTGAGTGTTCAATGAGAGATGACATGACCCACACTTAGAATAGAGTCCGGCACGAAGAAGACATTCAATAATTGGTTTTTAAATAATTATTAATACCCAGAGGAGTCTCGCCGGCTCAGGAAGGGTTGTAGCTGGCCTCTGACCTGCCAAGGACTAAGCGCTCCTAATGAGAGCTGAATGTATTGAACAGGGGCCCGGTGCCAGGCAGCACAAAAGTACCAAAGCTGGTTTGTCTGGAGACACTTTCTTCAATATTTTATGATTTTAGAAATAATGCGTGTTCTAAAAATTTCCAAAACCTAATCCGATGAATGACCTAAGAATGACAATTCTTAGAATTCTGGCTAAGGAATTATTTAAGAATATGTGCATATATTTAGCTCCATGAGAGTCATTGCGTTGGTATTTATAGTAACAAAGTTTTGGAAATGACTCAGGTGACTCCTTATTAAGAATTTATAGGCTAATATATAGTATAATAGAGTATAATAGAATATAATAGAATGCTGTGCATTTAATAAATGTGACAGTGCCTGGGGTGATGGAAAAGTTCTGTATCTTGATTGGGATGGTGCCCAAACAGGTGTACACATTTTTCAAAACTCATCAGTTTGCATGCTTAGAATTTTTACATTATTAGGACTGGTGCTGTGGGGCAGCTGGTTAAACTGTCGCTTGGGATGCCAGCAACCATAACCATATCGGAATGCTGGTTTGAATCTTGGCTGCTCCAGTCTTGGCTGGTCCTACTTCCTGTTAGTATCCCTGGGAAAGCAGTGGGAGATGGCCCAGGCACTCGGGTTCCTGCTACCCTTGTGGGAGACCTGGATGGAGCTGTGGGCTCCTGGTTTCAGTCCGGCCCAGCCCTGGTTGTTGCAGTCATTTGGGGACTGAATCAGTGGATGAAAGACCTCTCTCTCTCTCTCTTTCTCTCTGTCTGTCTCCATTCCTCTGCCCACTGTCTTATTCCACACTGCTGCCTGCAGATCTCAAGCCATCTGTAGCTGGTTTCTCCCCTCTTGCTTATTTGTGGTGCCACTTCACCTCCACTGCAGATCTGGTCTCCCACTTAGTTCAGTGAGGACTAAACTGGACTGAAGGCTCAGCTGTAGCTATGTGTCACACAGGGTCCCTTCTGGATGCGAGTACTTTGCAGGTCCTGCATCAACTAGGAGCCAGCTTAGACCTTCCCAACCCCCAAAAAAGAAAACTCTTCAGGGGTCTAATGAAATTATACTTCCTATTAAGCCTTGCCTTCAATTCCTCTCTGGCCCTAGAGAGTTAGGAAGTCCTAGCTCAGCCAGGCCGAGGCCCCATCCTTTGCGGGCCTCAGCACGAGTGGCCATGGGACCGTCTATATCTTCAGGAAGAGGGCTCACCCTCTCCAGCATGGCCTTGTCCAGTCTCCTTCATGCAGATACAGCGGCGTGAATGTCAGCAGTGCTCTACTGCAAGTTGGGGCTGTTCCGTCTTCCATGAGATTAAATGGCGGTACCATGGTTAATTTCTGATAAGGATGCTCCAGGTCTGTTTAGATCCTCACAGGAGTGAAGTGACGGAGTTGGAGCATCTGTCTTGGCATCACCATTACCTGGACCAAAAGACCACCTGCATCTCTCAAGGATAACTAGTGTCCAGGAACAATTCAGTCTAAATGATGCAGGCAGTCTCTCTCTCTCTCTGCCTCTCTCCTCTCCCCTCCATCAAAATCTGAAAGTGCACTTCTGCTGCAGTTGCATCCTGTTTATGTAACACTGCAGTCTGTAGCTTTTGCATTCACAACAGAAGTGCTCTGTAACCAAGACAGGTGTGAGAGCAAATGCCAAAAAGATGCCTTCAAAGGGAGCTGGAGGAGCTCTGAGGGTTGACCTGACCAGCCGGAACGTGTGCTATTGTCACATATCCAAGAGGTGTATTTGATGTAGCTCCAAAGGATGGCATTAGGACTGAGGACCATTGTGTAGGCTAAGGAAGAGCCACCTGAACTGACCAGTGGGTTTCTGTGTCACGGTATGAATTCCCCATCCCAGGAGAGCAGAGCTCAATTGCCAGGGATGCCGGAGAGGGGTATCTGTGGTCGACAGGGCTTTCTACCACATTGTTGGCTCTTCTGCATTTTTTTCTTTGCATGCAACAGAAAACATCTCTGCTAAATTAGAAAGGAATTCATAGGAAGGGATATGTCACACTTCAGATTTGAAAGAAAACCCTTTCAACCAGCCAACTCTATCTGATTTTGGTTCTTGTGTCACTTTGGCCCTAAATCCAAATTTCAAAAGGAGAGAGATTATTTGGCCAAGCTTGAGTTACCTCATCAACCCTTGGTTGGGCTTTTAAAGTGTTCCCTCCAAGAATAAACACAGTGGGAGTGGGATGACTTTTCAAAAGAGAATTGAATACTGCTATCAAAAAAGGAAGCCTGGATGTTGGGCAGATCAAAACAACATATGTCCAATTGAGTTTTAAATGAGTTATTTTATGTCAAGGGCTTCATGCCATGCCTGACACATAGTATATTATATATAATCACCAGTGGTCCTTTCAAAGTCTTAGAATATTAGTTTCAAAAGTCCATCCTTGGGGCAGGAACTTGGTGCCATGTATCAGAGTGCCTGGATTTGAGTCCCCACTCTGCTTCCAATCCAGCTTCCTGCCACTGCCCACCCTGGGAGGCAATAGGTGATGGCTCAAGTACTTGAGCCCCTGCCACTCCTATGAGAGAGTTGATTAGAATTTTTGGGCTTCTGCCTTTGACCTGACCCAACCCCGGCTGTTGTGGGCATTTGAAGAGTGAACCCGCAGATGGAAGATCTCTGTCTCTGTTTCTGTTGCCCTGCCTATCAAATCAAATAAAAAGAAATAATGAAAACCATTAAAAGGGGCTCAGCTTTTTTTTTCCTTTTCTTCTTCTTTTTAATTTTTTTTTGTTGCATGGCATGCATCCATCTGACTCCCCCCCCCCCCCCCCGTCCCCCGAGCTGATTTGGGAGAGGCCCTGATTAAATGATGTCTTAATGTGCTGAAATGCAGTTCTTCTGTCAAGTGATTTCCACTTAAATCCTCTGCCCCATTTACCACGGACCAGTGATGGCTTCCGCAATGCAGAACCAGCCTGGAAAGGTCACGGTGAGTTGCTTCTAAACAGCCCTTTGTCCCTCTCTGTCACAAAGACACGGGGCTGCGTGCGGAGGAGGAAGAAGCAAATCCGAGATGCTACATGGCATCCAGAGAACGGGAGCCCACTGCTTGTCCTGTGCTAAGAGGAGAGGTGCTGGGGCTTCAAAGCAGCCGAGGCATCCTGTCTTACGCATGATTTTGGCTTCTCCTGGCTGGGGGGAGGGGCAGGGCCAGGCTCTCAGGCTGATAAAGGCCATTTCTCAGAGGTCCACAGCTTCTGAAGCCTGCAGACCTTGGGAGAAAGGTGGAAATCAAAAGGCAGGAGACCTGGACCAAGGCAGCCTGGAGGGATGGGCGGGGCCCTGGGGTTTGTAAGGGACCCGTTGTCAGTCTTCCTTCTATCTCTGCTTTTTGAATTCCTGAGGACTCCCCACCTCCACTGGCTTGGGATTCTAGGGCTTCTAGATATTCTTTTTTAAAAGAAGCGTGTATTAGCATCCGAGAGCCATCATTCATCGATGTACTTCTGCTCTGAGTTGTGTGCATGTCGTAACTCTTTCTTCTCCATTGTATCCTGTGGGGTAGGTTGGCATTCCCATTTCATAGATGAGGAAACCGAGGTACTCAGAGACTAGGAGAATTGTGCAAGGTTACATGCCTAGTGAATGGTAGAGCCAGGATTCAAACCATTGGCAGCCTGGCCCCCAAGTCTGTGGACAGAGCTAACTGAAGGCAGAAACCCTTTTCTCACAGGCCTTCTCTTCCAGACACACCCCAAAGCTCTGTGACCCAATATCCTCACCATGATTTGGTCCGGATGCGTGTGGTCATCTCTCCCAAGCTGGACCAATCAGAGCCCCTCTTGTAGGAACTCAGAGTTTGGAATCAAAAGGGTTGGCTTTAGTCTGCACTGACCACATGGTGCTCGAAAGTTGTTCTGTGCATGAAATGTATCCGGCTTGTTGGCTTCTCATAAGGTGAAGTTCTTTTGTAACCAGAGCCCCAGAAGCCCTTTTGAGACTCCTTCTAATCCTCCCAAGTCCCACCCCACCCATCAAGGTAATTATAAATATAAATATAAATAATATATTTTAAAAGACAACTGGTTGGGGCTGGCATTGTGACACAGTGGTTTAAGCCACTGATTGTGACACCTCAATCCTATAACTGAGCAATGGTTGGAGTCCCAGCTACTCCATTTCCGATCCAGCTCTCTGCTAGTGAGCCTGGGAAGGTGGCAGAAGATGGCCCAGGTACTTGGACCTCTGCCACCCACATAGGAGACGTGGATGGAGTTCCGGGCTCCTGTCTTTAGCCTGGCTCAGCCCTGGCTGCATTTGAACCCTTTGTAAATAGGATTTTGCAGGAGATCCTTTCTTGTGTCTGGCTGCTGCCCACCTGACTATGAAAGAAAGCATAGCATCCGGTCAAGAGGATGCCTGACTTCAAAGCAGGAGCCGGGCAGGTAAGCACACAAGTCAACTGTGTGACGACAGAAGGGGCCAGCTGGCCTGTGCATCCCTGTCTGAAAGGGCAGCCGGTTCTCAGCTCCATGTGAAAAGTGTCGGCTCTTCCAAGGACGAGGGTCCAGTTTTTCCAGAGAAATCTGAAATCTCCTCCATGTAGATGTTGCCAAATAATTCAGGGATGACCCCTGAGATGTGTTGCAAACACACTGGGTCAGGGTTCACTCTCTGAGCTGCCAGCTTGTTCTGCATTTGAGGGTGGAGACCGTCAATGCACGTTTTCCCCCTCTGTAAAATGAGGGCAGAGGGACTAATGCAAATTCAATCAAATCAGCCTTCTTTGTGGGGAGGCAGAGGGGAAAATCAAGTTAGAAGCTGGGCACTTTCAAAGTTTGCAGAGGTCTCCTTTCTTTATCTTGGTGTTACCAAGTTCTGAATTGACTGGGACCTGCCGAGGAACCAGCTGCTACAGCGCCCCCTGCTGGAATTAGCACCCTCCTGCTATCCACTGGGATCTGCAAGCGGATCTGACAGCTGCTCGCTTCTCCTGAGGGCTTTGGGAGGGGGTGGCTCTCCATCATCCAAGGGTCTGCTTCTGCCAGGGACTGCACAAGCACCTGCTGGGGCTCACGTTTGCCTGCTGTTTGGTCAGTTCCCTGCTTTGCCACTCCACTCGACTTACATCGGGGGCGGGCGGAGGAGAACCAAGTCTCACTGTGTCTCCATACTGAAAGCCATCTCAGGAGCTTCTGGCATATCCTTGGCTCCCTCCCCCAGCTTCTGGGCTGGAATAGATTTTCTCCTATTTATGAGCAAGACCTTCTGGTATTTTTCAGCGAGAGTTTGGGGCTGAGGGCAGGGTGGGATTTATGGGCTCAGGGTTATGGTCTTGCATGTTAATTAGGAGCGTGGACTGTGGGGGCTGCCGGCCTGGGTTCAAAGATGGGCTCTGTCACCTGCTACCTGTGTGCTTTGGATAAGTCACTTAACCTCTCTGTTCTTCTGTTCCTACATTTAAAAGATGGGAGTGATAACATACCTATGTCTTTGGCATGCTGTACTAAATAAGTTAACATACGCAGAGAGCTTAAAACACTACCTGGCCTATCATATAAATGTTTGCCCCACCCAGAAGTTCTGATCTGCTTTGGCTTTTAACGTTGGCCTTTAGGTCCTGGCTCCTTAATTCTGCATCTCAGCTCTTTCTGGCGAAGCTATCTTGATTTTTGCCCATTAACTGTGCATCTCCCAAATCCCACTGTGTATGTGGCCAATCCTTCCTCTGTGTTCCCAGCTTTTGCCTCTCTCTCATATTCTCACCACTGCCAAATCCTATTGTGCCTTCTAAATGATAATTACAGCTAACACCTACATAACACCTATTCTGTGCCGGGTGTTCTAAGTGATTGACATACAGGGGATGGGTGTCCCTTATCCAAAGTGCTTGAGATCAGAAGTATTTTCACATTATTTTGGATTTTGGAATATTTCTCTGTATAATGAGACATCTTGGGGATGGGACCCACGTCTAAACATGAAATTCATTTATATTTCATGTACGTCTCATACACATAGGCTGAGGGTGCTTTTATGCAGTGTCTTTAGTGCATCTGTGCTTTGATGGGGACCCATCACATGAGATCAGGTATGGAATTTTCCATGTGTGGGATCACGTCTGGGCTTAAGAAGCTTTCCATTTTTGATTTTTTTTTTTTTTTGCATTAGGGATGCTCAACTTCTACTGATTCCTTTGATCCACACCCGATGAGGAAGATACTCTTTTTTAAAAAAGAAAAAAAAAGAAAGAAAGACTTTATTTATTTATTTATTTGAGAGGTAGACTTACAGACAGTGGGAGAGACAGAGAGAAAGGTCTTCCATCCACTGGTTCATTACCCAAATACCCGCAATGGCTGGAGCTGCTGAGCTTATCTGAAGCCAGGAGCCAGGAGCTTCTTCCGGGTCTCCCATGTGGGTGCAGGGGCCCAAGGACTTGGGCCATCTTCTACTGCTTTCCCAGGCCATAGCAGGGAGCTAGCTCAGAAGTGAAGCAGTCAGGATTAGAACCAGCACCCATATGGGATGCGGGTACACAGGCTGAGGATTAACCTACTGTGCCACAGCGCCACCCTGGAAAATACTCTTTTTACACCCATTTTATAGAGGACTAGACTGAGGCCCAAAGAAGTTAATAGAGCTGCCAGCTCACATGACTGATCAGAGGCGGAGTCTGGATTTGAACTGGGTCTGGCTCTAGAGTCTGCTCTTACCCACATGGCACACTGCTGCCCACTCGTCCCCGTTCCCACCAAGAAGACCCCATCTACACCCACACGAAACCCCCCTTGCCCAGTAGCCTCTTGTCCTGCCCCCCTGCCTCCTCTCTGTCTGGCCCAGCATTTCCATATCTTTCTAGAAGCTGGATGTCATCATGCCATCTTCCTTATAGAAAACATGCCAGTACTCACTGTCGTGGCTCAAAAGCATTGTGAATGGGCTTCTCCCACCTTGCAAGGCTTGGCCATAGACACACTTGGCTTGTTCTTTGTCATGGTATCCCAAACAGGCCACACTCCCTGTAATTCTGATCAGAAGATGCATCGTATGTTGGACGCACTCAGGCGGCCTTGCAAGCTCTGGCTGTGTAAGTCTTATCCTCATGAGAGTGAAGACTAAGTGCCTTTAAAAATCTCTCCCTCTGGGCCTGGTGCTGTGGTGTAGTGTGGGCTAAGCCTCTACCTGCTGTGCTAGCATCCCATATGGACACCGGTTCGAGTCCTGGCTGCTCCTTTTCTTATCCAGCTCCCTGCTGTGGCCTGGGAAAGCAGTTGAAGATGGCGCAAGTGCCTGGGCCCCCACACCTACGTGGGAGACCTGGAAGAAGCTCCTGGCTCCTGGCTTCCTATTGGCTCAGGTCTGACAATTGCAGCCTTTTGGGGAGTGAGCAGGTGGATGGAAGACCTTTCTCTCTGTCTTTCCCTCTCTGTCTGTAATTCTACCTCTCAAATAAATTTTTAAGGAATTCTCTCTTCTCCCACTGGGCATTTGCACATGCTGTTCCCTCTGCTATGGCATGCCTCTCTTCCTTCTCAACGCTGGCTACATGTTAGAATCACTTGCAGAGCTTTTTAACAGAATGCTGGTGACTGGGCCCACCCCAGACCAATGCAGTCAGAATCTCTGACTGACTCAGAGAGCAGCTGCAAGCATTACCTCCTCAGGGAAGGCCTCCCTGATCTCTCCGATCAGGTCAATTCCACCACCTCCCTCTCCCTGATGTCACACGTAGAGGGTGACGTCTGCATCTGTATGTTTCACCTTCATGCTTTCAATCAAGCATGGATCAGAAAATATTCAGGGGAAAAATTGCATTTACACTGAACATGTACAGACTTTTTTCCTTGTCATTATTCCATAAACAATACAATATAACAACTATATACATAACATTTACATTGTATCAGGTCTTATAAGTAATCTAGAGATGGTTTAAGCTGAACAGGAGGATGTGTGTAGGTTCTATGCCATTCTCACTCCGTTTCACGGAAGGGACTTGAACACCCTCAGATTTTGATAAAGGGACACTGGGACCAGTGCCCTGCAGACACCGATAGACAACTGTATTTACATGGTGACAAAGAGCTCAGATTCTGGGTCCAAATCACTGGTGATGTGACCTTGGGCAAGCTAATGCGATTTTCTGCATCTCAGTTTTTTCCCTGTAAAATCAGGATAATAATACATCTATTGTACGTGATTGGTGAGGATCGCGTGAGTTAATTATCTGTAAAGTCCTTAGGATGGTGCCTGGTGTGTGATGGGAGCTGTGACTGTCATCACCACCATGACCACCAGCACCCTGGGCTCTGCAAATCCCCGCTGGTGGGCTCAGTGTCTGCTGTACGACCGCTCAGCTCCAGGAACCGTGCGTGGCCCATCACAACTCATCAGTGACTGTTGATTGGCATGGCATCTCAGTGGTGGTCCAGGTAGAGGATGCAGGCTGGGATAAAGGCTTGCAAAAAACAAACAGGAAGAAAAGTGGCAGAGGAGTCAGAACTTGTCTCCCTTGGTTGGGACCCTTGCCCGTGTGGCCATGAAGGCCTTGGCCGTTTGTCTCCAGTGGTCGGGACTAGGAGGATGGGAGCCCCAGGTGCTGATGGTGGCCCGGGTGGCACTTGCTCCAGCAGCGTCCCCTGTAGTCACAGGGGTCCCCTCTCACTCACACGTCCGCTGTGTCCTTTTGCAGTTTCCTGCTGCCCTTCTGAGGCACAAACCTGGATGTGATGGGTGTTTCTGTGGCCTAGGGTGCTGTCGGGTGGCCAGGCCCCTTCTCTGCACCCAGACATCATGCCAACAGCGTCTCTGCAGGTGGAGTGACCTTGGGCCGTGGTCTTGCGTTTGGGATGCCTTCTCTTACTTAGTAGGGAGAGAGGGGTGCCTGGACTGTGGCCTCGCAGGACGGTGGGCACTGGTGGGGGAAGAAGGGCGAGGCGAGGAGAGGATGGGTGTGTGTGCGCACTTTGGGTGGTGGAGGATTTATTTATAATGCATGGGTGTGACCTGCTGCAGTGTGACTCTCACAGGAAGAGGCGTTCTCTGTGAACTTGAAGCCCCCCTGGGGGAATACCCAGCTCAACCCCTTTGTTTTCTGAAGGGGGAACTGAGACCAGACCATGGAAATGATTTGCCCAAGGTCACAGATGTTTTTATTTTAAGCTAACGTGCTTCAAGTGTGTGCCACTGGCTGTCCCTGCACCATGCACAGGGTGATCATGATTACAGTCATCCTCACAAATCTAGAAAGCAGGGACACGTAGGTATAATATTTAACAGGCACGTCCTTGGTGTAGGCCATGTGCCAGGCATGACATCGAGCCCTTTATAAACACGAACCCATTAAATCATAATCCGATGAGGGTTCCATGCTGGGCTCACCATTTCCATTTTCAAGGCAAGGAGACTGGGGGTACAGAGAACTAGGGAACCCACTTAAAAA